GGAGAACCTAGCAAGAGAACATGGCTACAGAACCTGGCTGGAGAACCTGGAGAACCTAGCAAGAGAACATGGACACAGAACTTGGCTGGAGATTATGGCTAGAGATCCTGGCAAGGCTGCTGATAACTGAATGCTGTCTCCGTGTCATTCCTTCTTCGCCGACTCCGTCCACACCTTTGGGGACCCCTGGACCTGCTGGGGTTGGACCCCAGCAATATTAAAAAAGACATTATTTGAATAATAAAATAAATTTATAAAAATAAAAATATACCTCAAGTGATATTTACTAAATACTGGTTGAATGCATAAATACCACCCCTACTACCGTCATAACATAGAAAAATCATTTATTATACTCTGAGTGGCCAGATTATCATGACCACCTGACGTTTGTAGGCAAATTAGCTATAATTTCCCACTGAAGTTGCTAGAGGGCCAGACCATTATAAATAGGGAAGCAGGTTGTTTACCACAACAGTAGAAGTGATTTTTTTTCTGAATATATGGGTAAACAACACAATACTATATATACTGTGTGTGTGCGTGTGTGTATACATATATATATCAGGAATATCCCAAACAGCTTCAAGGACAAAAAGCATGTTCCACACCAGATCATATTTAAGTTCCTCATCTAGAATTCAACTAACATATAACTGCAGCAATCAGCCAAGCTTAGCAAATTAAAATAACAGTAATTTTGACAGATTACCTTCTATAAATATTCAAATATGGACATTTATGTGCATTCAAGGGTCTCTGTGTGCCAATCAAAATGCTTTGTTTAGGATCCTAAAATGAGCTTTCTTTTTCACCCTTCTTTTCTTAGGAGTCCCCCGAATCCTTAACTTTCATTTTAACTCTTCACCTCAGCTGACAAAGACACCAATCATTGCTCTATTTATAGCCTGAATTATAATCCATTGCCTGAATTAAAATTTTAAGAGTAACAGTCATATAAAGCATCCATAGACAAAAAGAAAAGTGCCTAGAACCTTTGAATATCTATCTGTAAACACAAAAGGAAAGACCCAGTAGCAGTGGAGGGAGGGGGCAGAGACAGGATCTTAAGGGATGGCAACTGAAAAGAGATTAACTTTTTATTCATGGAATCAGATATGCCTTGGTATAGTAAGTCCAAATGCAAAGAAAAATTGACAACTTCATAAATTTGAGCTAAATTCAAAGTCCCACTAAGATAGACTACAATATATTTGTCTCAAGACAAGACGCTACATTTTGAAAAAAAGTTTAAGTTTATGAACGTGTAGAAGAAGGGAAATAACAATTACAGTTCAAACTTCATGGGTTTAAACTTCATGGATCTATTTATATGCAGAATTTACTTAATAAATACTATAAATGTATATTCTCTTCCTTACGATTTTAATAACATTTTCTTTTCTCAAGGTTACTTTATTGTAAGAATAAAATATATAATACATATAACATATAAAATATGTGTTAATTAACTGGTTATGCGGTCAATAAGGCTTCCAGTCAATAGTAGCTAAAGTTTTGGGGAGTAAAAGTTATAAGCAGATTTCTGACTGCATGGGGGTTAGGTACTCCAAACACCTACATTGTTGAAGGGTCAACTGCAGAATGAAATTCAAACCAAATGCAATTTTTGAAATCCACAGATAGCCCTTTTAATCAAGGCAAGATATCTGATGCATGGATTTGCTCATTGTCCTTCTATCCTATCTCCTATTAGTCAGTTTCCCTAAAACATATACACAATTACTGCCACTCTGTATCTAGGACAGCATCATAATTATATAAGAAAAGTCAGCTTATTCAGAGGCATATGCTGGACTGTTCCCACCTGGAAAGAAACAATTATTAATATCTCTACTGAGATTGCTCAAAATATTTCTAGAAAGTTAGGCGGACTTGCAAGAAACTTACTTTATGATCACTCACCAATCACCACCCAAACCCAGGTCCAACAGTGATTCCAAGCCAGACCAGTGGTTCTCAAAGCAGGAAAGGGAGAAGAAAAGTCTGGTCTAGAGACCAATAGCTTCAGACTTCCCTGAGAGCTTGTTAAAAATGCAGAATCTCTGGCCTTAATCTAAGACATATTTAATCAGAATCTGCATTTTAACAAGATCCCCAAATAACTCATATACATATTAAAATCTGAGAAGCTCTTCAGGAAGAATATTAGAATGAGAGAGAAGGTATAATATTCTGTTCAAAAAATGGTTCCCACTGCAGGCCCATGTTTGGCCAATAAGCAACCAATCTTTAACCTCTGGATTATAGCATCATTATTCCTGCCACAATTTTTTCTTTGTTTTTTTAAAACAAGGTATCTTGAAAAACAGAAACTCCTCGAGACCCAAAGAAATGGGTATCTAATGATTAAATGTCAGGTCCTAAGAAATGCTGACAGTTACTTAGAGCAAGTGGTTCTGTCTCATGCTCCCAGATCACATTAACTAAACAAGTTAATTTTAAAATAATAATTCCTTTCATTCCAAATGCTAGACACTAAGAGCATGTGGGATCCCAGTGGCTGAGAAAGAGATGGAAAAAAAAAGCCTATGCCATCTTGTAAGCAGAGAGAAGGCTGTATGTGCTGGTTATTCTACTACTATCTCTCAGCTCCAAATTCACCCATAATACTCAGCTCAGTAATGCTAAAAATAGAAGTCTAGAAACGATTTTTCTCTTTTGCCAACTAGCTTTCTCATGCTACCAATAAGGGTACTAGAAGGAGAAACTTGCTTTTCCAGTCAGTATAGCTACAGCATAGGCCCTCAATCCCAGCGACAGCCACCAGTGTTTTCTGACACTCACAGAAGTATCAGCAACATCCAGGCAGTAACCTCCTCCAGGGCTTTGAGCTCCAAATCTACTCCAAGCTCTTCTTTGATCCCCCAGCCCTACAGGTGGTTGCTGCTTTCTATAATTGTTGTCTGTGTTACTCCAGTGTTCCTCTTTTGCTTTTTCAACCCTCCAATACCTACAAAACCCATTGTCTATCCTAAATTTTGTTAGTATATCTAGTGTGGATTGCTTCCCTATCCAGAGTCTTACTGATACATCATGGCTAGATGGAATAAAATTCAGCATGAACTTGATCACTCTGGAACACTATTTTTCCAAAACATGACAGTCCATGAAAAAAATATTTACTGCCGCTCCCCCAAAATAGGTGCAAGATGGGAAATAGATGCAGGAAGTACAGTTGGGAAAGAAGGAATAGGGAACACAACCTAAGAAGTAATATATTCAAACAAATACCATGGTAAAAAACATATTTTAGCCCCCAAAACAACGAAAGGGCCAATAAAAAGTCTGAAACAAATTTTCCCCCTTAAGCAATACATCAGAGTTTGAAAGGTAGAAGGAACTTTATTCTTCTGCCTCTGCCATTGTTCAATTTTGTTAAAGCAGTTTTATATTGAGTTTGAATTACTTTCAGGACAATACTGAGAAATTATGGAAAATCCAAAGATCTCAAATATGATGAAAGCAAT